CCGCCTCGCTGTAGTAATAGCTTTTCTTACTTTTCCAATTGCCGTCCTTTTCGCTATGCGACGCAAAGATGCTTTATATTTGCTGAGACGATTTTTTCAGAACGTTCGAGCGGGACGTTACCCTTGAGAGTATTGAAAACGCACTCGCGGATACAATGAATGAATTTTTCATCCGCCTGACGCAAGAAAGAGGCGCGTTGATTTTTGTTCAAATAACACACCACTTTGAGAAGACAGATATTTTTCTTACCGATCGAATGTTCTGCGATTTTTCTCGCATTAATCAAAGACGTTCTCTTCTTCATCGCGAGGAAGTTGCGCGACTGTCGCAAGAGAATGCGAGTACGATACTTTTATACGAAACTTCCGGAAAAGGATCTGCGCGATACGTAAACGTAGTTCAGCGTATCATCGGGAAATATGCACGTGCGAAAACGATACTCGTCGGGAGTCGATTGTTTCAGATCGAGCAATAAATATCCGTGAGGTTGAGACGTGGCGTCGTGATACGCTTCCTCGAGGAACTTTGGATCGTTGGGATAGACTTGTCGAGCGAGATGGCGGATTTGCACGCGATCTTGTGGATTTTTGAAAACCACAAAGTATTTCGCGTTGAGAGATATATCACGTTGTCCACGGCCCTGATGAAAGAGATTTTGCGTGATGAGAATTACGCTGAGATTCTTATGATGACTTCCCTTGGTAAACAGATCCACGATCGCTTCGCTCGAGGATGATTCCCTCATAAGATCGTCAATTATTATCAATTTCGCGCGCGTTGGGTCGTTGGAATAATCTTCCGGACGCGGTAATCCCTCATGAAATTCAATTGCGGAATCTCGAGTTTCGTATTGAAGTTGCTGATAAGCATCCTGCCATTCGGCGTAATAAAACAAAATTCTCTCAAAGTAGACATCTGCCATAGCGGATAAATGACGAAGAAATCTCCTTATAAAGATTGTTTTTTCATCCCGTCGATCCGCACACGATCGACGTCCACGGATGTTTCCAGCGTACATCCATTTCGCGAAATGAACGCCTTGCGCGTCGTACTTGGATTAATAAACAAAGGATGGAACACTTGATTTTTTCTCAGAGAAATTTTTGAGATTAGCTTACTCGCGGAAGGGCCCCACCGCGGCGGAGGTGTGCTCGCGCCAGCATCTTTGCGTAACGAGCTCGTACTCGTCCGCGACAAGCCGCGCTCGTACGCTCGTGCGAGCGTCCACCGCGAGAGCACCGCTTACGAGCTTGTACGCGGTGCTCCTCGAAAGCTAATTCAAGTCGGAGAAACTTACTCGCGGAAAAAATAATTAAATACTTATTATTACGGACGTAAAAATTGATAACTTTTTCTTTTACAAATTTAAAAATCGTAACTTATGCGATTATAATTTAGGATTATAATTTAAAAGATATTTTACAAAGTATTTTAATGATTCTCTATTATAAATTCAAAATATTTTCTATATAAAAAATTAGCGATAAAAGAAGGTTATAGGAAAATTATAGGAAAGTGGGAAAAAATTGGATTTAAAAATTTAATTTTACAAAATTTTTATTATACTTTTTCTTACGATTAGAGAAATAAATATTTTTATTATATTTTTTCTTAATAATTAAACGCAAATTTACATTTTTAATTTTACATTTTCTAATCGAAACCGTATAATATACATTTTTCAAATTTCGCATTTTTTTCTTATATTTAATACTAAAATAAACTATAACTAAAATAAAAATAATCTTAATTTTTACAAACATATTTATTCCGTATACATATTCTGTACATATTTACATTTGTGGGAGGACGGGGAAAATCCGAGCCTTAACCTAACTTAATTTTAAGTATGTTGTAGCCAGGTCTACAACCAATAATAAAATAATAACCAATAACAAAAGTAGTCCGCATGGCAACAAAATTAGGTCACATGAATCTCGAAAAGTCTTTCGAAAGATGACACAAATGTGTGACCGCCGAAATTGCGACCAGTCTTTCGAAAGACCGCAGAAATGCATCGTGAGAACATTGCGAAAAAGCTGATCAGCAAATTCCTAAATTTGATGATCAAACCGAGCGTAATATTGATTAATCAATATCACGCAACCGATCGACGCAATCGATCAGAATGCTGATCGGGCATCGATCAGACTATATAACCGGTTATACAAGGCGGAATCGAAAGAGTCAAGAGTCAAGAGTCAAAAGTCAAAAGTAAAGAATAACGTGTCGGAATCGTTATTATAATTATCGCGCAAGATATTACACGAGCACAGCGAAGTTCACGCGAGCCGTACTATCAGCGTCTCAGGTGACCTATTCGGTCGACGGCCAGAGTAACGCGATACGCGCCCGCCGACGTTTAACCGTGTGTGAAAGAAATAAAATAAGCAATACTAAATCCAAGAAATTGTGCAATTGTTAAATAAACCAAGTAACATAAAGAAAGTGTGTTAGTGATTTCAAGAAGATTTCCTTCCATTCTTTTGATCCTGCTCGGAGTCCCAACTCCTTAGGCTTAACGAACCGACTATCTCTAAAATTATCGTTATAGCCCATCCGGAGTACAACATTTTGGTGGCAGCGGTGGGATAGTCAAAACCATCCCCAAGAACAACAACTTGAGAGGATCATCGTTAATCAAGCCAGCAGAATCAAACGAGTAAACCCCGACGCATTGCATTACGGGCAGAAGAAGAAAAAATTTTTTTCTTCTTGAAGAAACAAGATAAAACCTGCAGTAATAGACATTACAAGCAGGCAGAAGAATCAAATTCTCAATAAGCAGAAAATACAAGATCTGTAGAAAACAGGCGGACGGAAAAAGCCCCGTCAAAAAATAAGCCGCCCACGAAATTGTGTCAAGTGTACAGTGCAACATTAGTAGAGTGCCGACCTACGACAACGAGTGTCCAATGGCAGCGGAGCAACGACAGAGAGTCCACGAGCACCGAGAGTCAGCCAGCGCTGATCGTGTACAACGATACCAGGCAGCAAGGACGCTTCACCGACACGCACTACTACACGCAGTCAACTGACACGCCAGCACAAGCAGCGATCATGCGAGCGTATACGATTTATCTACTAATGTAAGTCCGAAAAATTATATTTTAAAAAGGCGAATGTCCTCAGCGAAGGACAGCGTAGCAAATGCGACTTGGCCAAAATCGCGGTCAATAAATAATCCTGTAAAATTTCCGCATACTATCTCCGCGTTAAATACCGCGAGAAACGCATTAAAAGAAATACGCAACAACGTGCGCCGCGTACTACAATACGATAGTGACGAAGACATCCACGTAATAACCGAACGCGAATTTCCGTACGACGAAAAAGATTACAGCTTGCTCGAACCGAACGACACCGACTCTCGCATTAACACACACGTACAAGTGCGAAAACACATACACACGAATTTACGAGACGGAAGCATATTTAATTCTTTTAATATATACCAATCTTTAATAAACGAAATGGCTCACTCACCTGTCGAACAACAGAATGAAATCGACAACGAAATTTTACAACTACGACATTCGGTCGAGAGACATGGACCACAAGAAAGTCGAACGAACCGCCGCGTCACAATCGACGCACCGCCCGATAACAGTCTCCTTCGAGAATTAATGGATGAA